GCGTGATGTAAGACCTGCCTGCTTTAAGACTGACGGGCATCAAGAAGAACACGACAGTAAGTCAGCGAGTATCAGTGGATTTCTGTGCAGCTCGCTCCTGTCAGACGTACGTATGATTTGAGAAATCTTCTAATGTGTCTGAGGCGCGACGCGGCTGAACAAAGGCCCGTCAGCTCCGTCACGTTTCCCTGGATAAATATGGGTTAAAAGAACAGAGTCGCTGACACCAGCAGACAATACTTTGCTGTTCCCTGAAGCGAAAAAGGCTGAGACATGCTGCTTTAGAGTTTCCTCACTGCTGGTACTCGCGGGGAAAAGGCTTGAGCAGAAATCCAAAAGAATTTCTGTCTCTTTCAGAAATCCCTCGAGGAGACGGAGAGAGGGCGCCGGGGGTAAATTGCCAGCGGTTAGAGCTTCTCAACCTCAGGCTTGAGCAGCGTATGCAGTTGACATCTGGCTGATATGAGGAACATTTAAAGAAAAACAGAAGTTTTTTAAGTTTTATTCACAGACTGGCAGCGTCTGTGAATAAAAAAACTGTTGTTGCATCAGTGGAGAGAGACGCCACAAACTGTTTCCTTTATCTCCTTTTCTCAGGTCAAATATCAGCGATAAAGCAGCACAGAGGCCGTGACAACCTGATCTCACTGAAAGACATCGTTTTTACTCAAACTAACCAACCGTTGATTGTGTTGTTTCAGTGAGAAGTTCATGGTGAGACTGAACAAGAACGGAGGTCCAAAGAATCCAGAGAAGGTGGACCGGCTGTGTGCCCTCTTCACGGTAACAACACACACACGTTTAATGAAACTCGTGGTGCAGTGATGGTGTTTCGTGTAATTTAAGGGAACAGTTGAAAACTGAGGATCTAAAAGTGAGGAAGCATTGCCCCCTGTTGCTCTGCAGCAGAATCAGTCTGGAGATCGTTTGATGCATTTTTCTGCACTAAAGCTCCCGACGTTCACTGATGCAGTTATTTGAATTCTTCAGTAATTACAAAAAGTCAGTATTATAAGGTGAATGCATTATTTACATGTAAGTCACAGGGGAGATGAAACCAGATGTGCTTAAATGATTAAGCTGGTTAAATCTGAGCGTTCCTGTTTCAACCCGAGCTGGATTCAGTCCATATATGTGTAAATTACACACATATTTATCAAATTAATAAAACAATCCATTGATGCAGCAGTCTAAGCAGAGCTTCTTAGTCCTCCAGCTCTTCCAGGGCCTTTCCAAACCCAGCACACCCAGGACAAGCTGATCTTTACAGCCTGTCCTGAGCCCTCGAGTTTCCTGACACCTGAACAACTGGCTAATTTTCATGAAGCTCCTCAAACTAAATATCTCTAAAGCTGAGCC